TGGGGGATCCCCTGCGCGAAGGGGCCAGATCTTCAGAGCCCCCCAATCCCCCGCACTATAAGCCTGGGGCAGGGAGGGGGTCCCCAATGCTGAAGACCCCCCCCAGCTGTGTGGGGACACTTTTCCCCTGCCAGGTGGCACCAGGGAGGGCAGGGGGACCCCAAGGACGGGGTGGGAGCTGGGGGGTGCCAAAATCCCCCCAACGGGACCCACCTCCACCTGCGATACCCAAGCGCAAGTGGGAGCTCTGCCTTGAGTCGGTGCTGGGGTGGTGCCGGGTGGGACGAGCCCCCAGGACTGGCGACCTGAGCAGGTTTTGGGGTGCTGCTCCTCAGGGGGGACTCAGCTCTGCCCACCCCAGCGCTGGGGGTTTTGGCACCAGTTGCGGGGCTGGCTCCTGGGGACCGTCCCTGCCTCCTGGGGATGCCAGTGGGGTAGGGGACGGCTGGCACTGAGGGGGGGGTCATGGCTCCCAACCCAGCACTGGTCCCCAGTGGGGTCCTGAGCGCCCCCCCAGCCCCCTGCTCCCCGTGGGTGCCAGATTGGGGTCAAAACCACAAAACCCCATGGTGATGGTCCTTTGTGGGGCTACAGGGTTGCAACCTGCACCGCACAGGGCCCCCTCGGACCTGGGGATGGAGGGGACCTGGCAGGGATATCCCCCCAGCCCCCCAGCCCCGACAGGAGGAGAGGGGACCCTCCGCGGCGTCCCGGGCAGGTTCCACCCGACACAGACCTGGCACGGCCACGGTGAGCTCCGGGCAGCGATGGCTGCGGCCCTCCCGGCGCACCCCACTCCCAACCGTCCCCCTCAGCTCAGGGGTCCCACCAGGACCGAGCCCCCCAGCCACAGCCCCACACGCACCGAGACCCACAGCCGGGTCGCACCACCTCCACCGCGGCTACACCCTCTCCAGCTCCGCTGGAAACACGTCTCAAAGCCAGAGACCAGCACTGGGGTGGCGGGCCTGGGAGGGACCCCCCCTCGTCGGCCCTGCCCGGCTGCCCCAGCCACGCGTGGAGGCTCCCGGGGCGTTTTTCCATCCGGGAATGATGACAAAAATCCCCAAAGGGCCCCCAGCGTCCCCCCTCCCTGGCGGGGCTCAACGACGCGTTGGCCATTTCACCGCAGGGAAACTGAGGCACCGGCGAGTGATGCGTCCCGTGAGTCACGGTCCAGGCTGGGCAGAGGCGGGGCTGCCCCAAAAAAAACCCCCCCCCCCCCCCC